TGTGATTTTATTGTAGAGGACATCCATGGCCACTTACAATTGGCATGTTTAATTTAGGTGACAGCACCACGGACCTCATTTTCCAGGAACACCTTCACCACACCTCGTAGACCGGAGATACGTTTGACACCGCCACGGCGAGCCAGACGACCGATGGTGGTTATCTCGAAGAATTTTGCGATGACGCTTGGCACCTTCTTTACCAGACCAATTGTCAATTGTTGCTTGTTGGATGTGAAGAAGTGGACTAGCCACCACCTTGCTATTGCTGCTATTGCTGTTCACCACGCCATCCGAAGTGAAAATGAGCTAATGCCATACAGCAGCGTTCTTTTATATCTTTTCAGGTTAAAGCAGAATGATGTGCAACCAAGTGGTACTCGCCAAGTGGTACTCGATTATGAGGACTGGGTTTGGGAAGAACGTTTATTTCATGAAAACAGAGATAATCACTTTTTATTTGTACATTGGACAATGCTTGACATTATCACTTTTTCAATAGCTTCACGTTGAAATCATCAGTCAGAAGCAATGCTATAGATGCGTAGAAAAATCTCTGATCTATTGGTGATAAAATTATTTAAATTGGTCCAGGAGCAGCTGAGTTACTAATGTTCAAAATCTTTCATAATTTTGTTTCATGTTCCATTTTCGGTTTTCACAAAGTGTACCCCCAGTATAGAAATGAAAGACGTAGTCCTACGTCAAAATGGACAAAAATTGTCGATTTTCATGGGTTTACCTTCACCCGCACTGACGAAACTACCCATGCAGCATCAATCATAGTAACCCATGAGTCAGCAGACAAAATTTTACAGCTCCATCAGTCGAACTCTAACCGTGATGACAAAAACAGTGAAGCAACTCCGTTCAGAAGTGTGCGCGTTCAAAGAACGGCACCCCGCCGCGTCGAAAACGAACATCGTGCGGCACTTTGTGGACGCCGGATACGCCCGTTCCGGCATCTACAACATTTTGGCACTATTAGACAACAATCAGAGCATCGAAAGAAAGCCCGGTTCCGGATGGCCGACGACCCTGAGCGACAAGAAGCTCCAAAGGATGTTGAAGAGAAAGACCGAGGGAAAAGTGGCTACATCGCTGCGTGTGCTTGACCGGGAGGTCGGTGCAACCGGCCAAACAGTGAAAAAGTACCTGGCTAACATTAACATACATGTCAGGAAGCGGAAGTCACGTCCAATGGTTTCGGAGCTGCAGGCAATGACGCAGTGGCAGCGGCTGAATAAGATGGTCAACTCGTTTTTCCCGGCGTATCGCGACGTGGCGGTGGTGATGGACGACGAGACCTATCTCACCCTGGATGGCAACGACTGGCAGGGCACTTCGTATTTTACTTCCCCCACGAAGGAAGTGAGCTCCGAGGTGAAGTTCATTTCACACACCAAGTTCCCCAAGAAGGTGCTGCTGTGGCTGACAATCAGCGAGAAGGGGATGCCAAAGCCGCTCTTCTTTCACTCTGGACTGGCCGTGAACGGGGAAATTTATAGTACGAAATGGCTGCCGGAAGTTGCGTCGTTCATCACGAAATACCATAAGGGCGAAGACGCGGTGTTCTGGCCGGATCTGGCGTCGGCCCACTACTCGAAGCGATCGTTGGAGGAGATGGAGCGGCTGAATATCGATGTGGTACCCAAGTCGGCGAACCCGCCCAACGTCCCCCAGCTGCGTCCCATCGAGAATTTCTGGGCCAACCTGAAGCGTAAGATCTAATCCAACTATTTTGTCGCGAAAACTGAGGAGGAATTGATAAACAAAACGAAGAGAGAACTCAAAAACATGCCTACATGCATGTTTTCGTCCGCCATGGCGAATGTTCCGGTTAACTGCCGGAAGGCCGCTCGCAAGGGCGTAGATTTTTTTTGCAAGTAAGATTAAATAATTACCTTCCATGGGAAATTTAAAAAATAATAAATTATCTGTCTTAGGTTTTTTTTATCACCATCCGAAAAAAGTCCATTTTTTTAATGCATACGTTAGAAGCGTAAATGGAGTACTAAGAGCTTGTCCTAACCGTCCCAACAGTCATAAGTAGCTGACTAAGTTCGGCAGATTTGCTTATATTGAGGTTGAGTAAAGGGTGCCTCCTCATATCGTATAACGTTTGAATAAAAGGTGTCCACGATGAAATTGCCACACTATGAAATTGCTCTAACTTTTTAACCGTTGGGTAGAATTTAATGAAAATTTGTGTGGATTTAGTTCATAGTGCATTATTTACATCCTGCAAGTTTTAAAGTCCTGTGATCAAAACTCGCGGAAATGGAGTCGAAAGAACAGCTCGTGCGTGATAAAATCTTGCGCATTCATCACGAGAACAAGGATCTCTTTCATCGTTCCATCGCTAAAACGTTGGGAATCGCGAATTCCACGGTGTCGCGAGTGATTAAGCGGTTCGAGGAACGGTTGACCACCGATCGGAAGCCCAGAAGTGAAGGAAAAAGTATTCCGTACAACACCAAACATCACAACACCTTCAACCGAAATCCGAACGCCTCTGTTAGGGATGTGGCTAAGAAGCTGCACCTAAGGCGAAGTTTTGTCCAGAAGGCCAAAACTAAGGCTGGGCTTCGAACGTTCAAGGTACAAAAGGCCCCTAATCGCGACGAGAAGCAGAACAAGTCCGCCAAAACCCGTGCCAGGAAGTTGTACCTCAACATGCTGACGAAAGTTGAATGCTGCATCATGGACGACGAAACATATGTGAAGGCCGACTTCAAACAGATCCCCGGCAACCTGTTTTTCACGGCCAAGGATAAGTTTAGCGTTCCAGAGCATGTCCGCACTCAGAAGATGTCCAAATTTGCGAAGAAATTCCTGGTTTGGCAAGCCATCTGCACGTGCGGGAAGCGGAGTGCACCTTTCGTGACCCAGGACACGATGAACGGACAGGTGTACATAAAAGAGTGCCTCCAGAAGCGGCTGCTTCCTCTCCTGAAGGCCCACAACGTCCCAACAATCTTCTGGCCGGATTTGGCCTCATGCCACTACTCCAAGGACGTGCTGAAGTGGTATGCGGACAATAAGGTCAATTTCGTGCCGAAAATGTTCAACCCTCCCAACACTCCGGAGCTCCGCCCCATCGAGAAGTACTGGGCGATTATGAAGCAGCACCTTCTTAAACGACCTAAGGTAGTGAAGACAGTCGAGGAACTGAAGAAAGTATGGGTTTACATGCAAAAAACGGTTGATTCACAGGTTGTGCAGAATCTTATGGCCGGGGTTAAGGCCAAGGTGCGGGCATATGCGTATGGACTGTAAATAAAATACGAGTAAAATGGTAAAATGAAGTTTAATAGTTATTTCTCAATCCCTGAAAATTTGATGGCAATCGGTTGAAAACTCGAATTTTGCGAATCAATTTTGTGTGTGGCAATTTCATCGTGGACACCCTTTACAGCTTGACGCTATATTAATGAAATGAGCAAAGCGTTTACATTGAGAAAATTGTTAAAAGCTTCAAGCCATGGAGAACCCCTGGGATATGAAAATTAATTTCGGATTGAGACTGAGATTTCCACAGTATTTCCAAGGAAAATGCTTATTTCTCGCGTATATTTTCAAAAGGTCCTAAGTAACAAATGTAAACAAATCGAGTTAAGCCATACAAACTATTGCTCTTCTATCATTGTATGTGATACAAATATGCCCATCCAAATTAACTTTCATTTATTTAAGATAAACAAAGGTCAAAAATTGTCCAATGTATAATTTGAAATGATGGGTACGTGATTGTTATTTCGGACATTTGGCCTTCCTCTCCTTCCTCTTCGCATTTCAAGCTTATTGCTTATGGCATATTAGCTTATTGCGTGCTCTCAACTTGGTGTTCTAGATGCACACTTCCACAGTTATTAATTGAAAGCTTTCGATGCCTGCTACCATTTTTGCATAAGTATAATTGTGTGGCAAGTACAATCATACTCTATGCCCAGGGAGTCGAGAAATTTTCCAACCTGAAAAATTCCTAGACCGGACCGGGAATCGAACCCAGTCACCTCCAGCATGGTCTTGCTTTGCCTTTACTGACTGAGCTAAGGGAGGCCCCATTTTGGCATTTGGCCTGTCTAACATGATTGGTGCTCATTTTTTAAAGGCGGGGCATGGTTAGGTTAGGTACTCTATTCTGAAATCTGTGGAAATCTGTGAAAGGGAATCTAGTATCATGTAGAAACAAAACGTCCAATGTATCACTCATTGATTATGTCATTGAGGAAAATCGTCCAATGTAACATGTTCGATGTACAAATTGACTAGTCCAAGTGTTTTTTTCTATATCGAAGCATGAAATTCAAAGTAAATTTGTGATTTTACCGTTTCCAGTAAATTTTAAACGTTATTATTAACTGACTATTGTAAACATAGTTCTGTAAAATGTATTGTTTCTAAACAGTTAAAATAATAATCTGTAGAACTTCAACTTCGTTCTTCTCAAATTTGAAAAGTGACGCGTTACCGTTCCATGCTTTGCACAAATCATACCTAATTATACCTAGTACACATGATAACAATGCATCTGGATTTAACCGCAATAATAAACCGCAAATACAATACCTCTACTTCTTCGAAAATATAAATACGGGCTTATGAAAATACATGTATAGCTACTACTGAACTACTACTTTCTCCTACGTGATAATACTGCAATTAAACAAGCTACAAGTGGAAATGATCGCTTAACGTGGCAGATTTGAGCAACCTCTTCTGCTTTGCGATATCCGAATTCACCCGATTTGGGGCTGGAATTCTCTTAACGATGGCCAAACTTCTGTAGCCCTTATCAACTTCTGTCTCACCCAAGAAATGAACTGTACCAGACGGTCCGTGTTTTTGTACTTAGTTTGGAATTGCTCGCGATGCTGGGAAATACCAACTTTCATGATAATGCCTGCTCGTGAGATTTTCCGGTCGCGTCCATTTGTGATTGCTGATTATTTTATAAGGCAGGAATGGGCAAGTAGTCCTTTAGTTGGAATCACACATTTGCTCAGAACGGATCGCGCGAAGGAAACCATAAGAAGTTAAGAAAATGTTTGCTTTCAAAGTATTTCTGCTGTTAGTTCTAGTTGTGAGTGATAGTCTGATTCGTAGTGCGCCTGTCGAGCGCAGGCTGGAAGATGTGTTGATATTCGATAGTGATCCCGATCCGCCGCCCGGTGCTAGTGCGAGGGAAGTTTCGGATCCGACGAAAAGATTCAATATTCCCAATGTCAGTGAAGGGGATGCTGAGGTAATTTTGATCTAGAATTAATTAGGAATTCAAATTCCAACTAAATTGTGATTGATCACGTGCAGGTACTACTTGGTGAGCTTGGTTATAACGAAACCGTCAGTGAGAATGAGTTTGGAGTCTCATCAAGGTTCAGTTTTGGAAGTGGCCTCTCGTTCGAGGACATGATTCGAAACTATCAGCAAGATGTCGGTTTGGATGTGACGGGAAAATTGGACGACGAAACGAAAATAGTCATTGGTTCGCCTCACTGTGGAACGCGAAACCTTGAGAAACGAGGAGACACGGCTAAATGGACGAAAAGGCTGATAAGTTACAGGATTCGAGACTACCCGGCGGGAGCGTCTCCGGAGTTCGTTAAATCTATGATCAAACGAGCTTTCAACGAGTGGAGTAAGGTGACGAATCTGGACTTTGCCGAAAGGAATGATCCCGGAGTGGATATCGAAGTAAACTTTGGTGGCACGTCTCATTCAAGACGAGGAGGCCGTTGTTCCTTCGATAATCCTTCCACATTGGCTCATGCTTACTTTCCGGAGGATGGTGACGTGCACTTCAATGAGAAGTATTTCTTCGCGAGCTCCGATTATAGGGATGATTTCCTGGATACTGCCATGCACGAGATCGGCCATTCTCTGGGGCTAGAGCATTCCAATACGAAAGGTGTGCTGATGCACCCCACTGACTCGAACCAACACACAGAGCCACAGGCAGAAGATGTTCGCGTATGTGATTCAAGGCTCGATTTTCGACCGGACAATTTAAAGTTTATATTTTTTCCTTATTTCAGAGGATACAAAAACTGTACGGCACACGCAGAGGTGGACGATCACTAGATACTACTAGTTCTCCCAGGCTATGCACCATCACCAAATATGATGCCATCGTTGATGATAACAGCGGAAGGTGGTATATATTCACCGGCAACTACTACTACGATACAGAGGAAAGCAATCCTACTGCAAAGCTGATCTCGAGCAGATGGCCTGGGCTAACCGGCCCCATTGATGCTGCTTTCCGGTACCCTGACGGAAGGACTTACTTCTTCAAAGGAAAACGATTCTGGCGATATCGAGGCAGCCGGTTAGAAACCGGCTACCCGCGGCGTATTTCCAAAGGCTTCCCAGGGTTGCCAAACAGTATTGATGCGGCGTTTGTAGATTCGACGAATCGAATTTTCGCTCTGAAAGGTAGCACCTTCTGGGTGTATGATGCGGATAAAGATACAACGCCATCCTTTAGTTTACGTAGTTTAGGTTTACCGAACAATGTTGATGCGGCCGTTGGAACGAGTAAATCGTTTGTTGTTTTCAAAGGGAAAAATCTATATATGTTTAGCAATGGGAAGTTTGTAAGTGTTGTGAATAAAATAATGAATTGTCCCTAGCAAAAGTATGATCTTTTTACTTTTTTTTCAATAAGAGAATTTATTTCGATTTTCGAGTGACAGATAGCGGACATGAGAACTCAGCGGACATGTTCATTACATACCAAGCAAAAACTAAATCATATTTTGTGGTTTTAAGAAGCTCAATGACCCTGGAGGGATCGTTTTTGCTTAATGAGCAGAATATAATGGGTTTAATCCGGTTTGTTTTTCATCGATAGAATAAAGTGCTGGTGTTTCCGTTAGTTATAGTTAAATTCTAGAAAAAGTTTGAAAAATTATGCTAAACTTCAGATATCCCCATCAGGGCCCACGTTATACCACGTAATGAACAGAAAAAAAATGAGTTGCTCCCTCGTATAGCAAATAGCCCCGATCAAGTGGTAGTTACGAAAAAAGAAATCTCCATTAAACCTCCAACATCCAATCGTCCGATGCAGCCACATCAAGAAGAAGCGACCGAAGGAAGTCTCCATTTGGGACATTTCATAGCAGTTTTTTAAAGCCTGGGAAAGTTGACCAGTTTTGGTGCGATCATTCCGTTTTACCCTTCTTACAAAGAAGGGTATAGATATCAATTGAAAAACCGACTATCGATCCGAAGTCCGGAGGGCCGAGTGTCATATACCATTCGACTCAGCTCGACGAGATCGGAACATGTCTGTGTGTGTGTGTGTGTATGTGTGTATGTGTGTATGTGTGTGTGTATGTAACGAAATGAATGCGCTTACGTTTCTCAGCAACCGCTCAACCGATTTGGACAAACTCGGCGCCAAATGATAGGTCTTGGGGTCCCATTGAATGCTATTGAACGGTTTTGGAATCGGTGAACCGGTTCCGGAGATATGGTCGGAATAATATCCGGTGAATATGGGCCTTCACGCTGGATTTAACGGAAAACGTGCCAAAACCATCATGCGACACATCAAATTACTACAAAATTTAAAAAATAAGATCAATGCAAGTCGTGTTAAGTGTTCCAGACCACATTGGACACACTTGGACATGTTCCGGGTACCCCGGGGAAGTTGCTTGAATATGAATTGAATTAAAACCCATTAAATCACATTAAAATACGATGATAAGGTGATTGGTAGCCTCACCAAATAGACTACACCCGGATATATTCCGGGTACCCCCAGGCAGTGGCGTAGCGTCACTGGATGACACGGGGGTGGGGGTCTTGGTCACTGATAATGACAATAAAATAAATAAACTTGAATAAGTAAGAAGGGTCTGATCACACCATAGGTGGATAAATTCGGGTTTTTATCTATAAATTAGAAATTTGGTTAACATTGGAAGTTGGTGAGATCTTTCCACTACACTTTATTATACATAGGAAAGTTTGAACATACTGAGAGGTAAGCACATATCATCGATAAGAGACGTGTGTGTGAGAAAATTATTTATCAGCGGTGCCGGTGGTGTAGCGGTAAGCGTGATTACCTATTACCCCAGCAGGCCTGTGTTCAATCCAAGTCGGCGCGGCCGGGATGTATTGAGGCATGATACCTCTGATCACGCCTGATCAGGGAAGTAAAGCCGTTGGTCCCCGGTTCATGATTTGATGGGTCGATAGATGGTATAGTCCAGGTGTGGGAGCTGCCTCCCTGGCGTCGGTAGCATTGGTGCACGGAAAACAAGATCGACAGAAAACAAATAAAAGAAAAAATCACGTATTATTGATACATTCATTTTTACATATATTAGAGCGTTTGGTATGGTATGTCCACTAGAGTGATGCAAATTTTGAAATTCTCGCTCCACAATACTTAAACGATTCCAAATCGGATCCTGACTAACCTCTCAAAATTTGAACCCATTTGGTGAGAAACTGAGACTGCACAAACCATTTGAAGTTTGTATGGGAATTAATATGGTAAAACCAAGATTTTTTTTCATGTCTATCTAATAATTCACCATATCGGTCTGCTTCAAAAACTTTCAACTGTTCTTGTAGGAAATTTTCCCAGCTACAACTTTGCTAAAGACCACTTTTTGATTAAATGCAAGGATCAAAAGTTTTTAATGGTTCAATGGACTAATGTCTTATGATCATGCTCAATCAACTGCTCAGCAGGCAACATTTGTGTTTCTGGGGCGTTGAATAGGACACAAAAAATATGGCTACTATGTCACACTGCAAAATACAGTGTTGCCTACAGAGCAGCTGCTTGATCATGTCATAAGTTTACCAATCTCTTAAATAATTAATAACTTTTTCCTGTCTCGTTTAACATAGAAATGATCTTCAGCAAACTTGTAGCTGAGAAAATTTTCTATAAGAATAGCTGTTTTGCAACTCAATATAGAAAAAGACTAGAAGGCAATGAACAAAAACTTGAGATTTCCCATAGTAATTTACATGTAAACTTCAAATGGTTTGTGCGAAGTCTGTTTCTAACCAAATGAGTTGTAACTTTTGGAGGCTAATCACGACCCGATTTGAAACCATTTAAGCACTGTGGAGCGAAAAAGTCAAATTTTGCATCAGTCTAATGTCCACGCATACTTCCACCCCTGTAGATTCACGAAATCCATCGCTGTTTAAATAGATTTATTCTAGTGGGGGCATCCCACTCTAAACTTTATATTTCTCGTGTTGTACAAAAAAAAAGTCCTTAGCTACCTGGGTTAAAAATACTCAAGAAATATTTAGCGTTAGTTATCACCGTTGCTATACAAATTTCTTTGTTTATCTAGGGCAACAATAGGGCTGTTTCCCCTAATATCGTCAAGCATTTTGCTGCGAATATTTTTATAGTACCTATCCTTTGCAAGAAATTCAATCATTATAATGCCTTGCAGTGACGGAATGTTATCCCGATTATGGCTTCTATATCGAGAACAAATTGAATGATGCTAGCACTCAAACATTTTACGTTATGGTCTAGCTCCGTCTAGCTGATAGTCGTGGGAATTACACAAAATGTAACAATTCAATTAAAAAAAATCAGTTTTTAATGGCTTGAAAAACAACCATTAAAAGTTAATGAATTATTCCCAACCATATTGTCAATGATTCAATTTTCTAGGTACTGGTAATACTGTGAAAAACGTGGAAAAGGAATTGCTCGAACTATTGCATTAGATTTTGAAACTTTTTTTTCATCGACCAATATTTGCTGTGTGCATCCATTACTAAGTCAAAACAAAGCCGACCTGAACTAACGAAAATTGATCAACCCCCGCTTCACAAATCAATCATTCCAATCACGTACCTACGTTTCCAATTTATGATTGGTGAAATTTTCCGCACCCATCTTCATCATCATTTCCCGCTGGCTCCACTCTCGCACATCCTTCCTTGACTCGATTCTCACACATGCTGTGGGTCATATTATATTTGCTTTGCTGTTTTATTGTTAAATTGTGAAAACCGTACGTAATTTACTGTCGTAAAAATCTCACACCGAATCCATGGGTCCGCCTCTGCTTGCCAGTTTTGCCACTTTTCCCACAGACCAGGGCTGCGTATGCTATCATCTACTTCAACCAACTCAACTCCCAACAGTCGCTTGTGGCCTTGTGGGGAGAATGTTTCCGAAACTGAATAGCGATTCCTTCCCATCGCCTTCCGGTTTAATTTTTTTTTTATTTCTGTGTTGTAATGGATTGAGCGAACAAGCTATCAAGTTTCCTTGCCAAACTCATCTCCGTACTCCTCCCTTCTGCGGGACAGGGTCGTGATGAAAAACAATTTATACTTTCCAGCTTTTATTCCGAACATGCCCCTCTGTTATCAAAGTTTTACGGATTCGTCTTTGTTTTTTTTTGTGGGTCCAAATAATCCAGGAGAACCGTCGGGAAGTGGTATCCCTTAATGCCTTGGATAAACACACATGGTGTCGTTTCGTGTTGATTCAAACCACCTACGACTGGAAGCGCGGAACGTGGGCAGAGTAAGAAGACAAAAGTAATTTTTCCTTTCAAGCCCTATGGTTCAACTTTCGCAAGAAGTGTTATTATTGTTGTCGTAACTGCTCTTCGGTTGACAGCAGCAGACGGAAGTATCTTTTGCTCAATCAAACTCACTCTCTTACGTGGGATGTTTTGACAACCCGGAGGTGGAAATCTGAGACGATAGTTGAAAATGTGTTTGAAAACAAGGTTAAATTTAGCTGGTTTTCGAATGATTTATTTCATTGGTAAAAACAAATCACAACGATTGAAATCAATGGCATAGGGGCTATCCAGAATCCACGTGAACAGTTTTCCACAGTTACCAAGGACAATCACCCTTTAAAAAACTACAAGGGACAGCCCAATGGGGTTGTACGAACAGTTGACGTAGGACTACGCTCACATATGTTAACTATTTTTAGCGAACGTTATTTAAAATTCCCGATATTATTATGACATCCGTGAATTTCTTCCGAAGTGTAATAATTAGTCAGTGTCCATTTTCCATGTAATACTAATAAGATTCTTTTTCAGTTCATGTGTAATTATTCTTGTGTTAGAAATATTCCAAACTAACTCTTTCTTTGAAAATTGTGGTGGTCCGGAAGGTATATGCTGGTCAAATACGGTGCCAAACTGATTTCTTACGCAATTAATCAATCTTTGATGTGAATTTCGCTAATAAACACGAGTGGCATTTCTTATAGCAATCTTGCCATAGAACAAAATGGGCATGGTTCATTTAAGTAAACAAACTAATACTTCTTCCTTGTGTGTCACCTTTCATTCAGCTCCTAGGGTTTCGGCTTGCTTCATCGTAGTTTTCGGTGCCAACTCAAATATATGAATTTTGTATTGTGTGGCAAGCAAAATTATATTCCATGCATTTCGATCAACATCCGAAGTCCCTTCTTTTTTAAATATTCCGAACAAAGTATGCTGTGCAGAATTTGTAAAAAGGGAGGGACTTCAAATGTTAATCTAATTGCATATATAGAGGTACCAAACAAGTTTTGCACTGCACTGTCCTCTGTAAACAATTAACGGAGCGAACAATTGCGTAGTTTCCAACAACAACAGTGATGGAAAATGAATGTAG